GCTCTGACAGCTTCACACTGATGAGGAGCCAGTGGGTCCAGGTCTCTAGTGTAGAATAACCATGTACATCTCTTTCAGCAGACAGCACATCTGTATCTATTGTGGCATGAAGAATATAAGCATATCCCAAAAAAAACAGCTGCTGTATTCATGATTCCAGCACCCAAGAACAACAATAATTCTAACATATCTGGTGTATTTTCCAGTTCATGTCCCTGAAGTTTGAAAATAACTCTTTACATTGCTTATGTTTCTATTTTATAACCCCGAGAGGGAAAATATCTATCAAATTTAGTGTATGCATTTAACTTCATGGCACTTGAAGATTTAACCATATTATCTGTAATGAAAACATAGCGACCTTTAAAATCATTTAAAAGGGGGAAGAAAAACTCTCTACCAGAGGCATGAAGTGAAACAGTGCCAAAGATTTCAAGCTGGTATAGCAGGGAGGCAGGCAGATAGATCAGAATGAGTGGAACAGATCCGATCTCTCTCAGCTCAGATTAACCTCTTTACTATGTCTGCAGAGGTCCCAAATCCCAGGCTACAGAAATAAAAATGTGTAATAGAGCAGAACCTCGGGGGAGAAATAATAAAAAGGACTGAATTGCATATAGAAAAGTGAGCCTGGTGACCATGGCTGTCCAGTCAGGTGACTGGGGGCTGGAGTTAACAGGGGAGAGCAAAGAGGGAAACATTTTTGTTCCATGCCAATCCAAAGGGCAGATTTGTTTCGCTTGTATATCCTAAGTCCCGATTCCAGTGACAATTTGCGTGAGTTGGGAACAGCTGCTTATATGTCAGGTAACAAAAGCCTTGGCTGACCTCTGAACGAACAACTGTGGTCTTCACAGCGGTGTTAATTGCATTTCATGCTCTTGGAAAGCTTTGAGAAAGTTGTGTGAAAATTACTGAGCTAGGTTTTGCTTTTCTGAAAGCACTTTCCAAGTTTTTGGAGGGGAGGTGGAGGGGAGGACAATGGTCATCAGACATGGGCCGAATTTGTCTTTCTGGATAAAGGTCTGTGGGTATGGTCTGGAATGAAGGACATCTATGAAGCTCTAAGTTGCAAGGATAATGCTCCAGGTTGCTTGGTCTTGCAGAGGGGCCAGGACTCTCAAAATCAAAAGAGATTTTGCATAAGCTGAACAAGGGAATTGAAATGTAGAAGTTCCTCCTTCTATATTGGTCATGTGTTTGATTTATTCCTTTAACCTATGTATCACAGTAAGTGGGAAAAATCCAAGTCTGCATCCAGATCTGCAGCCTGTGGGTGAAGGATCCAAACCTGCAGGGTGTGGGTGAAGGAGCATTCTAGCCTCATGTTTCTCAGCTTAAAATACATAGGCGTCACCTAAGATATTGTCAGAATGCAGATGCCGGCTGTGTCAATGCTTGTATGCAGGGTGTGTGTGTGTGTGTGTGTGTGTGTGTGTGTGTGTGTGTGTGTGTGTGTGTGTTTTGTATTTCTGATGAACACTGGAACACAGTTTCAGTACTGGATGAGAGGTCCCAGGAATATTAATGGTTGTGGTCTTTACAGCAGGTGCCATTGAATTCTCTAAGAGATAAATTATCCTAGGTGGCACTCAGTTGCAGATGAATTCACCTGCATCCATGCAAAAACAAGAGCACCCATTTCTGATAGGTCTTCAAAATTGACTAGGATTTCCTTATATAGTGTGCTGGACTGTGAGTCACTGAATAATATGCTGGACTATGGGCATCCAAAATTATTTGTATTATCATGGTAGATATTTTTACATATTTGTGAATATAGCTGTGATAAGGCTTTGGTTATGCAGTAACATTTATGACCCTTCTTTGGGGGATGATATTCAGTATGTCTCAGAGTTAGGAAGATACGGATTTCAAATATTCACACATGTTTCCATTCAAACCTCATTATCATATAAATAATTATTGAAAAGGCAATTGCCATTGGCACCAGGGTGACAATGAGAATCTTTCATAATAGCATGAGATTTAGCATAGAATATTTTGACTTTGCATAGCTCCTCAGTTCCTCAATAAGGTTGGGACCTTTGTGAATTATTAAAAGCCAGCATATGAAGGTAACACATTATGTTAACATATAATCACAATATCAATAGGAATTGTTATTCTGAAAAATGTCGACCATGAGGACCACTCCTACGATGAACTTTTATGGTATTTTTCCCCTGAAAATTATTTTGTACTCAAGATGCCCCAAAGGAAGTGAAAGCACTGCTCACCATGGGACAGGTGGGAGGTCCTTGCTCAGTAAGGGACTTAGAACTAGGCACAACTGCTTGAGAGGTTTTCTTAATATGTTCATAGATGGACATGTGGAATGGAGAGAACACCCCACTGGGACTTTGGAGACTGTTTTCTTCTGTCTAAAATCTTCTTTTATGCATAGCCTGGGCAGAACCCAGCTCCCACACCCCAACAAAACACTGGCAATTTCGTTAAACTGGAGAGGGATTTTAGAGGTGTGTAATTTAACTACAGTGACCATTGGACTTGCCTTGGGAACTGGAGGATTTGGGATAATGAAAGACGGCCAAATCAATCAGTACAGCAGGGAAACAGATAAAACTGAAAACTGTCTTAAGAGCACTGAGCTGTGTGGATGCCTTAACTATAACCCAGTCGTCCTATGGCATACAGTCCTTTGTGCCTAGCAGTTGGTCATCTGACCTCTGTGCACCTGGGTAACAGTACTCATTCCTGCACAGATGATCTTACTCCTCTGATAGACTCATTGGTTTGTTTAATTATTAGAACGTTCCTGCTGTCATTGACATGGGATTTGCAAGATTTTTTCCTTAACTTCCTGCTGCCAGGTGGAACAACCCAGGATGGCTGGGCTCTCTCTTCTTGTGTGACTGCTCAAAGTTTGAAGGGGGTGTGAATTCCTCAAAAGTCACTCTTGTATCACTTCCACTAGGGACTTCTACAGTTTCTACCAGTGAGCAAATGACTACCTGACCAAGGGACTGATGAACTAACCCTGTTACAAATAGCCAGAGTCTTGGGGGATTCCTAAATAGAGTGAATATTGAAGGACAGTGTCTTAGTTAGGGATTTTATTGCTGTGAAGAGACACCTTGACCATGGCAACCATGGCAAATAAAACATTAAATTGAAGTAATGGTGGCTTGCTTGCAGTTTCAGGGGTTCAGTCCATTATCATCATGACAAGCAACATTGTGTTGTGCAGGCAGACGTCGTGCTGGAGCTGAGAGTGCTACATCTTGCAGGTAATAGGAAGTGAACTGACAACCACACTGAGGGAAGCTTGAGCAAAAGAAACCTCAAAGCCCATCCCCACGGTAATACACCTCCTCCAAAAAGGCCACACCTCCTAATAGTGTCACTCCCTTTGGAGGCCATTTTCTTTCAAACCACCATATAGACAGATACTTCAACTGCTTATCTGAGATTTAAATTTTTCATAAGACATATTTTCTGGCTGTTGTAGACCCTAAGTATATCCAGTGAATGGGAGTCTTTCTACCTTCCTAGTTAAATGATTATGTCTTTGCCCAATTCCCAGATGAATAAAGGATATTCTGCCTGAGTTACTTAAAGTCCATTTCAAGATATTTCCTATGGGGAGTTTTATGATGGGCCAATTGTAATTCTTAGAATTTAAAAATAACAATGCGTAGATCCACTTGAATCCTCGTTGCTTTCAATTTACTCAGTAAGTTAAAGTTGACTACACATTATTTTAATAGATTAGTCAATATTGTTCAGAAGCCAAAGAAACTTGCCATTTGGAAGAAGTGGGGTGACTCTGCATTATAGCACTTAGCATATAGTGTTTTACAGTTATTAGCTTGTCAAGTCATATAGCATTAGGAATACAGTAGATCAATACAACATTGGCATCACCAAGAAATGGCTTCCTGGCTTGATGTTAAAGGTCCTACTACCAAACATTTATATAGTGTTTATGAGCAACCAGCAGCATGCTTCTTGGTGGTAGCATGGACCTAGAAATTTCCCAGAGTTGGTGTGGTAAACATGGCTCCCAGAGCTGGTGGTAAAGGTGCATCACCATGAGACTAGACTCTCAGGGAACCGAGTGGAAGGAGCCAGCGCCAGCATGCCATGATCTAAGTTACACAGACGATTTTTTGCTCATGCAGACAGAAAAGATTACAGAGGCACAATAAGGACTGATTCAGACAAAAGGAGTCTCTAAACAAGCCACAGTGTGTTTAAAAAATATACATAGGTTTGGGAGAGAAAAGAGAAGGTATCGACAGTCATAATGTTACATGTGCTACATTATCTACCTGAGACACAGAGTCTCAATCTGTAAAATTAGAATAACTGAACTGTCCTAAAATTAAATGAAGAGCAGCCTGAGCCCTATAGCAGTGTATGAGAAATATTAGCAACTGGACATGTTACTGGAGAGTTTTAGAATGGCCACCTAGGAAATCCCCAGGCTTATCAAATCAGCACTTTCCAGAGCAAAGCTTTTCTAAGCAAGGCTACATGAATTAGAAGATGGTAGTTGGTATTGAAAAGGAAGAACACCAATAACTAGGCTGCTTTTAGATGTGTTACCCCAGATATTTTCACATAGTATACATAACCATTACCTCCTTTGATAACTGGGAAATTCTGAAGTCTATTTTCTTGTTCTTCTCACCTTCTGATGACCTTGAGTGATGGATACATACTGACTCCTTACTTGATGATCTTTCCCTCTGCTTTACTCTCGTGCTGTACCTCACACTGCCCTGTATTTCATTTCTGGGTACTGCCATTGCCTCCTTGATCAGCACTTACTAAGCTCTCCTCTGAAACTCCCTGTTCAGCGGTACTTCTCATCTGTCATGTCTCTTGAATGTACATTGTGAGCTGGCTTTCTCCATTCTTCCTTGACACTCTTGTCTCTTGTTCTCAAGTAGTCACCCATATGAACTCTCAGTTTTACATCACCAGGCAAGGTCTGGATCCTGAGTTACCTTTAATCTGTGATCCTGTAGAAACTTTAGCTACATTGTGAAGTAGGCTTGCTGCACACTGGTATCAATTTCTGGGGAAAATTCTCAACATCTTGCCCACTGCACCTTGGGCTGGGCCAGTATCTGTCACTTGCCCCATCCTGGCAAGAAAGAGCATATTACTGTCAATCCATGTGAGTCTATTAAATAGGTAATAGAATTTATTATGATATAAATTGAGAAAATACACTCGTGATTACAGCACAGAGTAGACAGCAGAAGTTGTCCTGTGATCTGACCAAGAAGGAATCCATCTCACAGGCAGGAGCAGGGAGAAGGACATGTGACCCTTCTCCAACCCCTTATAAGAGGTCACGTACAATGGCAGAAAGCATCACCTCCTTTGGGCCATATAGCCCAAGGTCATGGGCGGAACAAATACTACTACAAGAGCACTTGGCCACAATATGTTATATGAGGCAGGTTTATTACCCACAATAGGTGACAAGGGACAGCAAAAGTGTAGGGTTCATAGCTAGGTGGTCCTCCAAGACATAGAAAAATTGTCAGAAGTACAATCTTATGTGCAGGTGGCTTGCTTGCTTTATAGCCAAAGGACCCTGGAAAGCATGATCCACTCTGGCTTTTACAGTCAGAGGAAATATGAAATGCTAGACTAATGCTCTGTAGGTCACCCTGAACCAGAACAGACCAGAATGGAGCCAGTGATGCTGTGGCTCCTGCCTCCTTAAGTAATGATGTCACATTCTCAGTGCTCTCTATGGTTGTTCTGAGAACTATAAGTGAGAAAGAGGGGAAACTGGTCTGTGCAAGGCCACCTGGAGATGTGTCTTGTATTTGTCACATTTCACACTGAATGAGTATCTGGCCTCTCCATAAATTTCTCATTCTACACGTGCCATGAAGAAACATTAGTTAAAAAATCCTGAGTGCAGTTTTGGCTCCTCAATTCCCCATGATGACAGAGAACCAAGTTCATTGCATTCTGTTTATCCCTACCCAAGCTTTTTTTTTTTGGCGTTTCTATTCATGTCTAGATTAAACTCCCACTCTATTTTACGCCTTCTGATATGTTTTATTCTAGGAGAATTGTTTTCAATTTTAATATTTCTTGTCTTACTTTTCTTATGCTACTCTCCCTATCTTTGAAATACTACACTGTTTTCTCATGACTGTGATGATATGTGGTGTACCCCAATAAAGCTTGCCTGGGGAGCAGAGGACAAAGCCAGCCACTGCATTAAACATAGAGGTCAGACAGTGGTAGCACACACCTTTAATCTAGCATTCGGGAGGCAGAGATCCATCCGGATCTCTGTGAGTTCAAGGCCACACTGGAAACAGAGCCAGGTGTGGTGGCACATGCCTTTAATCACAGCACTAGGAAGGACAGAAGATGGCAGGACACAGAAAGTCATATAAGGCTTGAGTAAACAGGAAGTCTCTCTCTTGAGGCTGAGGATTTTGTAGAGGTAAGAACATGGCTGGCTTGTTCTGTTTCTCTGATCTTTCAACTTTCACCCTAATATCTGGCTCTAGGTTGTTTTTTTTTTTTTTAATTTTTATTAATAAGACCATTTAGCAGTTCATGTTACACATGTCCTTTAGGGTCAATTACTAAATCCTAAGTGTGGGGAATAATGCCTTTGCCTTAGGCTACCCGAACACCACCTCTCTCTCTTGGCTTTACTTTCCCACCTCTTCTGTTCTCATGGGTCCTAGCTCTGCAAAAAGGCATGCCCTTGCCTGAAGACTCCACACTTTCCCTCACTGCCTTACCCTTAAACACGTCATTCTCTTTAGCCGGAACATTCTGCATTCTCTTTACTACCAGATTAATTCCATTCTATTCTTGATTGCATTCTTTTTTAAATTAGTGTGTGTTCAGTGTACATAGTGTCAGGTTTCCTACAGGAAATTTCCCAAGTATATCACATTATGTGACCCTCTTTCCACCCTCCCTCTATCTGCTCTCCTTCTTCTCCTCTCCTCTGTCTCCTCCCTTCTGCTTACACACACACACACACACACACACACACACACACACACACACACACACACACA